TCTTTAGTTGGTTAATAAAAAAGACTGCCTTGATTCCAAATCAAAGTTAATTAATTCAAGTTTATATTTTATTACTTTTACTATTACTAAAGTCTTTAAATCAGTTCCACAAAGACATCCGTTGGGGGTGAGGGGTGGGGGCCGGAAATTGGGGCAGGAAGTACCTGTCAAAATATATTTGATGGAATGTACACCCCCTTCAGGCCGGAAATGAGGGGGCGGGGTGGGGGACCAGAAATACCAATTAAAATTAATTTGATGGAATGTACACACCCAATATTAATGGGTGTAGTAACTTTGAGACTGTATTCTGAAGACTAGTTTACAACACCATACCAGCCTCCGTTTGAAAACACACTTCAGCTTCTCAGACTGTCCACTGTGACTGAGGATGATACTGAACAAATCCACAGCCACCTCACCAGGAGCTGTCTTCCTCCTAGTGTGTCATTACTTTAGGCCCAGCCTTTATTTACACAGACCTCTGGGTCTCTAGACGGGAGATTATGGTATGGGGCTGTGAGGCTTCAGTTTAATCCCCTCCACTTCAGTGATGAAATGGAGTTGTTCATGTAGGGTAGAAGGCATGTTAAAGAGGGATTTTACGCCATCAGACATGATATAAAGAAGAGCAGTTATATATTCAGGATTATCAGGGACAGTGCTTGAATTGGGCCGGGACACATGGGTACGCAGTACTGGCACTTTTTACAATGTAATCTTTGGCGTACCATGACTTTTCCTTCTACACCGGCTCTGCAAATTATACAGAGGCCCTGGAACAGATAGCAGACCTCTGCCCGAGGATCTCAAGGTACGTGCTGGTGTGTATGGGACTAAAAGTTCAGAAATATAACAAGGTGAGAGGCCATGAAAAGGTTTAAAAGTAATCAATAGAATTTTAAAGTCAATTCTAAAACACACTGGGAGCCAGTGTAATGAAGCTAAAATAGGAGTAATGTGGTCATATTTCTTTGTTCTGGTTAAAAGCCTAGCAGCTGAGTGCTGGACAGTCTGGAGTCGATCAATAGATTTTTGGGTTAAACAGGTGAAAAGGCTGTTGCAATAATCCAGGCGTGATGAGATGAAGGTGTGTAAAATGGTCTCGGTGTCCTTAAAAGTTAACATAGATGGAATTTTAGCTATATTTCTAAGTTGATAAAAACATGAAGCTTTGTGGTGTGCTGCTCGAAATTTAAATTACTATCAAACCAAACACCAAGGTTCTTTGCAACAGGCTTAATGTGATTTACTAGGGAACCAGCAGATGGCAGTATTTGTTTTGCCATCTGCTGGGACCCAATGACCAGGATGTCTGTTTTGTCTGAGTTCAGCTGGAGGAAATTATTTGACATCCATTTTTTAACTTCACAAAGGTAGTTGTTAAGTGAACTCAGCATTCCAGGGTCTGTGGATCTGACGGGCAAGTATATTTGTGTGTCATCAGCATAAATATGAAAAGAAATGCCATGTTTATGGATAATATGTCCAAGGAGAAGCAGATACAAGGAAAACATTAAAGCTGCAAGCAGCGTTGGGCGGGCCCTCGCACTTGTAGCGCGTCCGGGTGTGAGCAGGCCGAGTTTCACATTCTGGAGCTCTGCCGGTACGGCTGTGAATTTGCTACGCGGTTTCGACGCCACATGAAGGTGCTATATGTCTCTTCCTAAAAACTCGGTATTGGTGTGTAGATGTCTGCGGGGTGGGACAGTTATCAAGCACGTAAAGTTTGGTGCAGATGTGAGCATGTACACTGAAGTTACAACAACTTCCTGTGTCGTGGCGAAGAGTTGATCTTTGACGCCACGCCACGGATACGGCCATTGACGAAAACTCACAAATAGCACAACTTTTCATCTTCAATTCCTTAAGAAGGCACAGCACAAATTTGAAGTCGGTCGGACTAAATCCCTAGGAGGAGTTCGTTAAAGTACGAAGTGTGTAAATCATCCTAAATTTGACGTAAAATTCAAAATGGCCGACTTCCTGTTGGGTTTAGGCTATGGCTCCAAGAGACTTTTTTGTGCGTCTGGACAAGATACACGTACTACAGAAAATTTGTGCACGTAGGTGAAACGTGCGGCGGGGGCTGCTTCGTTAAAAGTCACTTCCTGTTGCCAGCAGGTGGCGCTATGACTGTGGGTGAATGTCGGCATGTACATGTGTTCAGGGCGGGACTCTCATCCTACATGTACAGTTTGGTCCAGATGTGAGCATATACACTGAAGTTACGACAACTTCCTGTGTCATGGCGAAGAGTTGCTCTTTGATGCCACGCCACGGACACGCCCATTGACAAAAACTCGCAAATAGCACAACTTTTCATCTTCAATGCCTTTAGAAGGCACAGCAGAAATTTGAGGTCGGTCGGACTAAATCCCTAGGAGGAGTTCGTTAAAGTACGAAGTGTGTAAATCATCCAAAATTTGACGTAAAATTCAAAATGGCCGACTTCCTGTTGGGTTTAGGCTATGGCTCCAAGAGACTTTTTTGTGCGTCTGGACAAGATACACGTACCACAGACAATTCGTGCACGTAGGTGAAACGTGCGGCGGGGGCTGCTTCGTTAAAGGTCACTTTCTGTTGCCAGCAGGTGGCGCTATGACTGTGGGTGAATGTCGGCATGTACATGTGTTCAGGGCGGGACTCTCATCCTACATGTACAGTTTGGTCCAGATGTGAGCATGTACACTGAAGTTACAACAACTTCCTGTTTCATAGCGAATCATCGACGCCACGGACACGCCCATTGACCAAAACTCGCAAATAGCACAACTTTTCATCTTCAATGCCTTTAGAAGGCACAGCAGAAATTTGACGTCGATCCGACTAAATCCCTAGGAGGAGTTCGTTAAAGTACGAAGTGTGTAATCCATGTGTCATCCAAAAATGGCCGTAAAATTCAAAATGGCCGACTTCCTTTTGACTTTAGGCTATAGGTTCTTGAGGCTTTTTTGTGCGTCTTGATATGATACATGTCCCCAGAAAATTTCGTACATGTAGGTTGAACGTGAACGAGGGGCTAATCTTTTCCAATTTTCTAGGTGGCGCTAGCGAGTCATTTTGCCATGGCCATGTGCGAAACTTGTAGAATACGAAATTTTTCACCGGTTCTGACATGTTTGCAAATTTTGGTGAGTTTTCGAGTATGTTTAGGCCATGTCAGTTGAGCCTACTTTGCAGGAAAAAAATAATAATAATCTGAGCAAATTCAATAGGGACCTCGCACGGTCGTGCTCGGGCCCTAAAAATGGGTCCTAAGACCGACCCCTGAGGCACACCATATTTAACTGGACAGATTGAGGAGACATAGTTGTTTACAGACACGCAAAACTTCCTATTTGACAGGTAGGATGAAAACCATTCTAGGGCAGTACCAGAGATCCAGGAGGGTCCAGGAGTACCAGGACTGAGCACATGCCTTCATCAGCAGACATTAAAAGGTCATTGGTGACTTTAAGCAGGGCAGTCTCAGTGCTGTGGTACTTCCTAAAACCAGTACAGTGAGCAGCTGTTTGGACACAATTCTTTCTAGAATCTTTGCAATAAAAGGCAGTTTTGAAATTGGTCTAAAATTATGTGGGAGGGAGGGATCTAAACCAGGTTTCTTTAAAAGTGGGTTCACGCAAGCCGTTTTAAAATAATCAGGGACACAACCAGTAGATAGGGAGCTGTTGAAAACAGAGATCAAATGGGGCCCAACAGAATCTATTACTTTCAGTAAAAACTTTGTAGGTATTACATCAAGTGGGCTGGAGGACACTCTCATTTGTGATACTGTTTTTAAAAGCTCAGACAAGTGGATGGGATAAAACTGGTTAAAACTCTCTTGTTGCTGGTGAGGGACCTCTAAGAGGCAGTGGGGGTAGTAGAGGCTCTGACTGACACCACCTTATGGGTAAAATAAGATAAAAACAATTCATCATCATTACTTCCAGCTGAGGCACAAGGAGGGGTTGGGTTTACCAGCTGATCCACAGTCTTAAACAGAAACCTGCGATTGTGTTTATGTGTAGTAACGAGTTCAGAAAAATAGTGTGTTCTCGCATCCTTAACCATGTTATTGTAGTTAATTAATAAATCCTTCAGACTGAGGTAATGGACTTGGAGACTGGATTTTTTCCATCTGCGCTCTGCTTTCCTGCATTCCCTTTTGAGGCTGCGAATGCTGTCATTTATCCACGGTTGCTTACTAGCTTTAGACGTAGGCCTAACCTTTAGAGGAGCAGTAATATTTAGTGACGACAAGCAGATATGATTGAAGTGATCGACCAGATTGTTGGTGTTGGAATCAGACAGGTGTTGGCTTTGGCTCTGAAAGAATGCGCAAAACTTTGAAACACTTTGTTCATTAAAGATGCGAGAACACACGGAGCTTGGTGAGGCGGCATGAGTAACAGGTGAATCGCAGCTAAAAACAATACATCTGTGGTCAGATATGGTCATGTCCACTAATTCCACAGAGGAAATGCTGACACCCAGGGTCCTACATCCGCACCTCGTATACAACGGTGAGATCCAGCCTTCGGCTCCCAAATGCCTTTTCTTCAGCACTGAGAACCAAGGTCCAGTGAGGCCTTCAACTTAGAGGGCTGCGCCTATAATCATATGATATGTTACAGTACATAACCCCCTTCAACCCATGGTGGGGAGGAAAGAAGCCCGTGACGTTGATGACCACAAGACCGAAAGGAGCTTGTAATGCTTTTAGGCATGAACGCCGGGTTAGGGCGCAGAACAGCTGAGCTGCCGTCGCCCTGAATCTTGAGACACAACGGAGCCACAGAGAGGGCAGCCAGATCGCTGACCCTCTTGGCCGATGTCAGAGCCAGGAGCAAGGCGACCTTAGCCGAAAGGAATCTCGGGTCCGCCGTCTCCAAAGGCTCAAACGGGGCTTGGGTTAAAATGCGTAAAACCAGCGGCAAATCCCACTGTGGGGCAACAGGCCGTATCACCAGCCTGCTCCTCCGCACCCCCCTAAGGAAACGCTTCACCAGGGCATGGGAGAACACAGTCCTGTCCCCGAAGCCCTCGTGACAGGACGAGATGGCGGCAGTGTAAGTTTTAACCGTACTGAACGCCAGCCCCCTGTCCATGAGCGACTGGAGGAACAAAAGTACTGTCGGCAGCAGACAGGTGACCGGGTCCATCCGCTGGTCCAAACACCAGCATTGGAAAGCCGACCACATAGAGAAATAAGAGGACTGAGTGGAGGTGGTTCTCAACCCCTGGATGGTGCGAACCACCTCACGGGAGAGACCTAAGCCCTCCAGGCGTCGCCTCTCAGCCGCCAGACCCAGAGAGGCTGGCTGAGGAGCGGGTAACTCCTGATCGCACCCTCGCCTGAAAGAGAGCGTCCCTCCTCCACGGGAGTTTCTACGGCTGCCCCACCAGCAACCGCTGGAAACAGGGAAACCAGGACGCGCTGGTGCTCTCCCGGGCCACCAGAATCACCGGCAAGGTTGAAAACTGCAGGCGTTCAGAAGGCGCGGGATCAGCCACACCGGCGGAAAAGCATACAGCAGCTGGGGAGGCCAAAGGGGGTGCGCGAAGGCATCCACTCCCAGCGGGGAGATGTCCCGCGGGCCAAATGGCACACTGAGCGTTCTCCTTGTTGGCTAACAGATCCGTCTCTGCCCTGCCGAACCCCCGGCAAGACGAAGCCCATGTCACAGATGATGCACACCCGTACTGACGTAGCAGCATCCCGCCCCGCTGTCAACAGATCCTCAGAAAAATTACACACTGTTAATACTGTTCAGTTGTAGTCTTATTTGACGTTGGTGCAGTGGCCAGCTCTGTTGCCTCACAGCAAGAAGGTCTTGGGTAGGAAGCCCCTGGCCAGTGTGCATGTTTTCAATGTGTTTGCATGCGAGCATTTCCTGTCCAGAGATATGCTGGTTAGGTTAACTGGCAACTCCAATTTGCCCACCGGTGTACCTATGACAATGAAAGCCAGGTTACCTGTCCAGAGTGTACCCCTCCTCTCACCCAGTAACCCCTCCCATCCTCACACCTGCCCCTTTTTTCAGCTAATTAGTCTCTCCTATATATTTCATTCCACCTGCTCCCAACCTTTGCCTTATCACCTTTGTGCCTCATTGCTGCGGAACTTTAGTCCTGCTTATCTGCCTGTTTATGATTTCTGCCTCCGTGGGCAGCTTCCCCCCTACATGAATCACTTAGACCTTTCCACACCCTGTTTCCTCTTGTTGCCACATTTACACACAGGATACCTGCATTCCCTCTGCATTCTTTTTCCTCTATCACTTTCTATTGATCTGTTCTTACACACACACACACACACACACACACACACACACACACACACACACATATCCTCTAAGTTTAGGCTGACATTCCCCTCTGATAGTGACAAAAAGATCCACTACATGTGATGATTATTATGATGGTTATATGATATAATGGTTAAACTTTGAATTGGTGTTTTGTCAACAACACACACAATAAAATAAAACCTTCCAGCTATTTAAACCAACCGGTCACAATGTGTCCTCATTTTACATAGCCAAGCTCCAGGACAACTCTAAATGTCAGGATGATGAAGCTGTATGTGTGTGAGAGGGGATCACATGCATATCTGTACACTCCAAGAAATGGGTAAAAGATTACACCTGAAGTAGTAGTTTTACAGATTCTCAGTTTATTTTTTGTTATTATTTCAGTTTCTCAGTTAAGCAACTTTCTTAAAAAAAAGTTTTCAACATTTGTTGTCATTCTTTTTTTTCTATGACATAAGGTTTGCAGAATCACTGGAAAGTAAAGTCTAAACCTACTGTGCAAACAACTTTTGCACATTCCACACAAACACATTGCAGATGACATGAATGATACGTGCAAGCCCTCTGCTTACACTGTAGGTTTACATATACAATGAATTTGCTTTGGTGCATAACAAAAAGCATCAAATACGTAAATATATTAAATTGACATAGTAAAAAAAGACTATTAAAGAATATGTGCAAAATGGCAGTTTGTGCAGTTATTGCAGTGCCTTGATATGGTGAGGCCAACTGCAGATGGGAAGAAACTGTTCATGTGGCATGAGGTTTTGGTCCTGATGCACCGCAACCTCCTGCCAGAGGGGAGTGTCTGAAACAGTCTTTCCTGCTCACCTCAGAGTCCTGGAGGGATGGAAGATTGCAGCCAATCACCTTCTCTGCAGAGTGAATGATACACTGCACTTGATGGTGCCCAAGAAGCGGAAGGACTGGGGTTGACTGGGGAGTCACAGAGGGTGATGGGGGTGGGTGGGGCGCTTTCTGAAATCCGCTGCGATCTCCACTGTCTTAAGAGCATTGAGCTCCAAACTGTTCTGGCTGCACCAGGACACCAGGGGCGAGTTTAGCACCGACAAAATATAGCAAAACGTTTTTTTCAACGGAAACGGTGGTTCCCTGAACACCCTACCCATGTACGCAAGCGCACTGCATTTCCCTGCCTTTTTAACACCGTTGTGTTTACAAACTTGTCGCAGCTGATTGGGTAACACCTTTGACATGCCCACCAAACAGAAGAAAACACACCTCCCATCACTATGTAAAACAGCAAATATCCATTTATATGCCAATGATACAGTAATCTATTTTGCTAGTGTAAATATATTACAGAACACTGCTTTTATCCAGTCAGATTTTGACCTTATACCAAATTGGTTAGTTACAAATAGATAAATTCTTAATCAATCAAAGTCTTCAATCATGCTGTTGGGTACCAAACAAAGGCTTAAATCTGCTACTGATAATTTCTACATCTAATGGTGCAGTACTCACTAAGGTTGACTGCATAAAATACCTGGGGCTATGGATTGACTCTGAATTATCATATAAAAAGCATATTGACTATATACGTGTAGCCCAGCGGAAAATGTCATGTTCACACCAAAGCCACTAGTGGGCGCTGTGCCCTTTCGGGTATTCCCAAATTGCGGTGCTCCAGAGAAAGCGCAAGCAGGAAGAAAACAAAGCAATACAGGAAGTGAAGAGCCTCCCGTTCTGATCTACTTAACCATGCCTGGTGGGTGTTTTGAGCTTCCAAAATCGTGCGGTATCAACCTAAAAGGCAACACCTGGGCAACAAAAAACATCTGTCAATAGTTTTGCTCACTTGAAAAATGGGTGGGTTCAAACAAAGGGCGGTATGTCCTGAGTTGTTTAACACATCTAGATGTTAATACCAGGAAATGAAAGCTGAAATTCTGAACTCTTGTCTCATACTCATCTTTTGATCTGAAACCCAAATGTCTTCAGTGAACAACAAAAACAAAGAAATTTGCCTAACCGTTCCAATACTTTTGGTGGGGACTGTATACCTGCCTTTACCGTCAAAAAGTGACATAAACGGGCTTCTCCCACTGCCGGTCAAAGATAGAACACAACGCAGTTCCTTTGTTTTCAGTTATGGGTTTAAAACAGAAAAACAAAACGGGTGTCTGGTTTTTTGTTTACTGTCTGTTTTTCCATTTTTCCATTTTGGTTTTAAAAAGGATGAAACTCCAGTGATGATGTGATGTATCAGTTCAGTCCGATCAGCTAAAGCGTCCAATCTGATATCCAACAATGGGGGTGCGCAGGTCAGTTAAAGTCTTCCGTGAAGGCTGCTTTCTCTCTGTCCTCGGTCCTTGCTACTCTCTCGAGGAGCAAGGAAATATCAAATAAGGAACTTGGGATTTACCCATCTTCAAATTTCTGCATGAGTATCCTAACTTCTCTGCTAATAATGAAATTGCTTGTCAATTTGTTTAGTTATTATTACAAGTAAATCTGATGTCATGATTATTACAGTTCACAGAGTGTAAACCTATATTTCTACAACAAATGTCTCACATGGGTGTTATTGTGCAAACTCTTGAAAACATGTTTTGTCCATTTCTAGTTTTAGTGGTATTTTTTAGTTCATCGCTGATTAGGAAGCCCACTAACTCATCCAAACCAACAATATACAGACTGTAAAACAAAATAAAACAGCAGGAGTTTTATCGCTGGACAACTGCCAAGTGTTCACACACAACGCGATGACACAAATAAACACAACTCACCATTCCTACAGCTGTATGAACTCAAACCAAACATTTTGCTGTGATTAAATAGCAATAAACGGATTAAACTGATGCCGAAATAACTACAACATGATGCAGATTTGTTAAACATACGAACACATGCTCTGTCAGCAAGTCAGCAGGACAACAACTTCTAAAATGTTTGTTTTCTGAATGGAGTTTGGATCGATCAGGGCTATGCTATGCTAACTTGGTCACAGTAAAGTACAACCATAGCTGGAATAAAGTTACAGATACATGTTTTCTGAACTCACCAGGTAGTTCAACCTCCTCGCTTTCTTTTCTCCAAGTAATGTCCAGTTTTGTCCGGTTCTTATATAAATATGAAATAGTACCAAACGACGCTAACAACACTGGACCCGGATGTGCACGGAATCTAGCTGCTGAGAAGCTCCAGTAAAGATAAATCAACGTTGTAATCCCAAAAACTAATAATTTAATAAAAGCAGTTTAATCCGAGCTCCTCCCGCGAGCAAACGGCATAGTTGTTAGAGCATAATCCAGTCCGACCACGGGTGTTTATTTGTTTTATTATTTGTCCAAAACCTGCAGCGCTGCTCCCTGCTGCTCTCCCCCAAGTTTAGCAGCTCTCAGCCGGCCAGCAGTTTTTCCATCGCCCGCTCTGCCTGGTCCTCTCCACACATCGCTCTGAAGCCTCGATGACGTACGGACAATTTAATTTGATAGGCTATTGTGACTCAGCGACATGCTAATTTCTCGCTTGAGTTGAAAATAATTGCCTTTGCGTCGCCGGCACTTCCCCCCTTCGCGCCGCCCAACAGGAAATTGCAGCTCTTCGCTCTTGTCGTCATTCCGCCGCTGGTTGTCGAGGTGGTGTCCAGCAAACGATGTGGGCTTTGTTGATCATTGGCAGACTTTCTGGGGAAGACCTGGTCTGATCCGGAGAGACGGCATCCATCCCACTTGGGAAGGAGCAGCTCTCATTTCTAGAAATCTGGCCAAGTTTATTAGTGGACCAAATCCATGACAACCCAGAGTTGAGACCAGGAGGCAGAGTCGCAGTTTAACACACTTCTCTGCCCTTCTTTTTCAGCAGTTACCCACCCAAAACCCTACGCAGAGTCGCAGTCTAACACACTTCTCTGCTCCTCCATTTCAGGAGTTACTTAGTGAAAACCCTATAGTGACGGTGTCTGCCCCCCGACCATCGAAATTATTTAAAAAGGTAAACAGAAGAGGAGCTGTGCATAAAAACCTCATAAAAATTAAAACCACAAGAGCAATAGTGCAAACGAATAGGAGAGTTAAATGTGGACTCTTAAACATCAGATCTCTCTCTTCTAAAGGTGTACTAGTAAATGAACTAATATCAGATTATGATATTGATTTATTTTGTCTTACTGAAACCTGGCTGGGTGATGGAGAATATGTTAGCCTAAATGAATCCACCCCTCCCAGTCATATTAATACTCACATTCCTCGAGGCACAGGCCGAGGAGGTGGAGTTGCAGCTATCTTCGACTCTAGCCTACTAATCAGCACTAAACCTAAACCAAACTATAACTCATTTGAAAGTCTTGTTCTTAGTCTTTCGCACCCAAGTTGGAAATCACTGCAACCAATTCTTTTTGTTATAGTGTACCGAGCA